ATCCCCCCCCCCCCCCAATAACTCCATACATGAATCTCCACAACATGAACCGCCAAACCTAGCCATGCATCTAGGGATGTGTTCCAACTTCTAAGCTGCCTTGCCCTCTCCGAAGCTGGTGCCCCTTCATGGGGCCTTCTTGAAGTTTGCGTTCAAATCATATAGGGGCTACCTTGGGATAATGGAAATGAAAATGGNNTAGGGGTTATATATATATATAGGGGTTATACTCAGCTACCCTTTGAAGGTACTTCTTCAGTAAAGAGGCACTCAAGCTCCTTGGAGTTTCAAGGTCTGGGCTTGAAGGAGTGTGGTGAATCATGGTATCTTTTGGAGGATGAGGCTCCTAAACCCTAAACCCCACAACCTAAACCTGGATCCCGTATCCCGAAACTGTTCGCCCTCATCCCTTCACCTAAACAGGGGTTTAGGGTTCAGGGTTCAGGGTTTAGGGTTTGATCCATAACCCCTGAAGCTTGAACCGCTACTCCTAAACACTACTCCTTGGTTCAGTCCCAGATACGGAGCACATCATCAAGCCGGAAGCCAGACCATGACACGTTCCCTAACATCCTTGGCTCGAAGGCCCCCAAGAAAGTTGAGGGTTCAGGGACAGGGCATTAATTTTTGGGCTGAAATTTCAGGGCTTACGGATTTTTGCCTCAATTTTGTGAAGCGCTTCTCCTGCTCCTGCAGCAAGGCGCCATCCAAACACATCCATAATCCTGGTTGCTTCTGCATGGCAACCTGAAAACCCCCCATCCTCGACAACGACCTCTTAAAGGTCAGACTCCTCAGCTTTGTTCTCTATCCCCTCTTTGCGGCGACGTGTAAGCCCTGCTCATTGCCCTTGTTCCTTGCTGGCTTGTGTGTGAACTTGCGCTTTCCCCCTGCCTTCCAGTTCTTCTTCCCCGCGGCCGCTCTGATCATTTCTTCCTGTTCCCACTGAGCTCTTACAAGCTGCTCTCGCCCCTCGTGCGCGAGGTCATTGGCAATGGTCTGCCCTTCCAAGATCGCTTGAGCAATCTCAGCGGACGGCATTGCTGGAACCACAGAAAACCTCCTAGCAGTTGCCTTTTCCTGCGCCAAAACTTGCGCGGCAGTTTTGACGTCCGAATGCACATGACGCCTCTTCGTCGGCCAGGGTATCAATCTCTGTCATATCGAGTCTTCTGCGTCGGGGGAGATTCGGCTGTAGGAGCTAGGCTTCATGGAGTGGGGGTTCGAAATCATGTTAGGTTATTGGCAGCCATTGGATAGTGATGTTTTTCTTCCGACATCACGGGAGAAGTTCTGTGAAGGGGCGGGGTCATATAGCTCTGGTTCCGCAGGGTTTAAGGTTTGTAGCCTGGGGGCATAATGGCATACATGTTGAGGATGTCCTGGCTTTGAACTCTCAGCCGTTTCAAAGGGCATTCCTCTGCCCAGCAGAAAACCCTCAGGCGAGAGTGCACCACCTCCAGCATCACCAAACCCATTTCTCCTCAATTCGCCTTACCATGCCAATGCTGCGTGTCATCGCCATCCCGAGTACGGTCCTGGTGTACCGCCAACTTTCCCGTACATCTGAAAGCACCATGATAACCCTTCTTATGTTCCAAGCGTAAGAATCCAGACCCAGATTGAAACAAGCCAAGGTACCCTACCCCCAAGTCCTCGCTGTCCCCACCCGCAAATCCGCTGCTCTCATGGCCGTTGGCGGCAATATTGTCAGCCGCCCTGAAGGAGCTGGGTATGGTATGCCACGCGATTTATTCGTGAGCACGCCTTTTCAAATGCTCTAGTAGCAAGGCACAGAATTCGGAGCATAGGGTTACCAGCCCCTGGAGGAGCAGGTACAAATCATACAGGATGTTGCACAGCGGTGTGAGAACCCTGGACCACTTGAAGGGGAGGCTTCTTCGGACCAAGTCTGAAATCCCCTTCCCCTGCCAACCCAAAGCTGTGCACGTCTGCTACATGTCAAAACTACAGGCCCCTTCAGATAGCTCCACATATCGAGATCTTGGTAGCAGGGATCACCAGACGAAGCCGTTTTTTAAGAACTCGCAGCCCTTAAGCCTGGGTAAGTTGAATTGCAATTGGCAATTCGAATTCTCAGGAGTCTGTTACTTCCCGAGATACGGGCTATTGCCCCCTCAACAGTCCAAAGCTACGTAGGCATATTGCGAAACAATACTGTCATCCATGACCACAAAAGCGCGAGTGACGGAAATATGTTATCTGGATGTGACTCGGGCTTTCCATACCTAATGCCAACGACCCTAAACCCCAAGTTCTTATCCAAGAGCACTGAACACTAGACCCTAAAAGTCTCCTGCTACCTTCACCCCTCCACACAGGAATGGTCTCAAGACCCTAACGTTAATAACCCGTAGCCACTCATCCTGAACCTCAAACCCTTAACCCCCAACCCCCTGAATCCTAAACCCCCACTTGGAGGGTCATGGGCACTTAGTAAGTGGGTTAGTAGTGGGGATAATTGGGGTTCTGATATGGCTTACAGAGGTTATTAACTTACTGACTAAGCCCCCATGACCCTAAACCCTAAATACTATAGTAGCTTCCATTTCTTTTCCATCATTACTATATAACCCCTATATATACCCAATATAACCCTATAACATGGTAGACTAAGTCCCCATGAACCTCCAAGCAGGTCTAAACCCTGAACCCTAAACCGTAAACCCTAAACCCTAAACCATGTTGCCTGTTCCCAGTACACTGCAGGATCGAGGTGATCTGGTGACTGGGAAAGCGACTCTGAAGCTGGCTCAAGGTGAGATCTATCTCCTCCTCCTCCTCACATGTAGGATTTAGGGTTTAGGGTTTAGGGTAGGATTTTTCGTAATGATTTAGACTTCCTAAACCCTAAAGCACTAAACCCTAAGCCCCAAACCTTGCCCATAAATGACGGTGAACCTCCAATTAAATGATCACTCCGGCCCTTCAGACTGCCAGAGGAACCCCCGGGTTGAAACCTTATAGTCCTCCTGAAGTAGATAGAATATGGCTTTGGGTGTATTATAATAAGATCCCCATATACCCCATATTCTATCTACTTAAGGGAGACTATAACCCTAAACCCTGAAGCCTAAATAGTAGTTTCCATTTCCTTTTGCATTATCCCAATATACCACCCATATTCTATTCTACTTGCAGGGGACTATCAACCATGACTGGTGCTCTCTGTAAGTGGCGTGGCCAACCCTTCGCACCTGGTCCGATGCGAAGGTGACCAGATGCTCTGCAGCAGACTCCACGGCAGGTACAGGCGCATGGTTCCGCACATAGAGTTTGTCCTTCCTCAATGTCTCTGGCTCAGATGGGCTCCCATAGCCTAGACTTATGGATTAAACATCATAATTACTATCATAGCGTTAGCACTGTAGGGCATGAAGTTAAAGCATAAAAGGCCAATTTTCTTCGTGCCATCAACGATGTACAATCACCTCTGCACAGGCTGCTCAGACTTGGAGGTAGCTGTCAGCTGCTGGCTGCTCACTGCTTTCATTGCCTGCCACCGCTGTAGGAGTTTCTCGAATTGCGGATCCCTTATGCACCCGAAACCCTCGGATCCAGAAAATCCGACGGTGCGAGCAAGCTTCGGCGTCAAGAACTCAACAGCAAGTTCTGAGCAGCACGTCTCCGTCTGAAACGGCATCTCACCTTAGTTTCCGGCATGCGTCCGCTTCTAGGTTTGGGGGCTTAGGATTCAGGGGGCTTGGAGCTAAGGCGCATATGATAGTTTAGGAAGAGTACAGTTTCGGGCGGTTTGGGGTTTGTCGAGATGGGTCCAGGGGGGCTTGTTAACGGTCGCATCCGCCACAAGCTCCCGCGGAGAACTCTCTCAATCAAGAGCTTCTGCGCTAGAGAGGAACGGCTGCCGTCCATACACCATCTGATCAACAGTTTGTGGCTAAGGATTTAGGAGTCAGGTTTTATCCACTTCCGCAACGTTGTTATTGACTGCATAACTCGTCTAATGCTCCTTGTGATTCAAAGCCAATGGTGATGTGCAGTTACCTTCGTTGCAGCTACCACTCTTGCTATCAGCTGTTGTCTTACCAGTAGGCTGATACTTGTACAATCACTCTTTGATGCTCACTGCAAACCCTCCCAGTCCTCACGTCCCAGTCATATTGGAGCCTATATGGCTGTAGTTCCACATTGGCTTAAGGCTTAATACCCAAACATACCCACGTGAAAAATTCCCAAGATGCCGCGAAAGATTCACTTTTATCCTCCATTGAAGACCGCCGAAACACGGAACCCCAATCCCTAAACCCTGGACCCTAAATCCTAAACCCCAAATCCCTAAACTTGTGGAACATCATGGCACTCAGAATGCATCCGCTCTGCCGCGAGCCCTTGCGCCCTGGGGCACTCTGCTCGGGCTCCCAGACACCTCCCCCGAGGCGCTCCTCATCCTGCAAGGTAAAAAATAGATCCCCTATATACACCCATTAGAACCCCTATATAATCCTTATATAATTTCCCCTATGGTTCCAGGGGATCTAATTTTCAGATCCCTTTGGGGTTCTGGGAGGTGTTTAGGGGTTTTGTGCTTATAGTCCCCCTTAAGTAGTATTGGGGCTATATAGGGATAATGGAAAAGAAAAATGGAAGCTACTATAATGGGTTATAGGGTATAGAATATGGGGTATATGGGGATCTTATTTGGGTTTTGTTCTTCTTTGTCACATCTCCGAAAGCTGGGCCGAGCGGGGGTTTAGGTTTGCAGTGGGCTTGCTGGCGTAGTTTTGTTGGGGGGGGTTCGGCTTGAGGTTTCGGTTTTGGGTTTGAGGAATGATCTATGGTAATAAGTGGTAGAGGTGGTGGAGGCAATAGTAGCAGTAGTAGAAGGAGGAGTAATATTGACGGGAGGGAGTACGCAGTAGGCGGTACCAAATATGTAGTAGTACTAGCACTAGTTCACAGTTTGAAGCAAAGGCTACTCAACCCCTGCATGCTCAACTTGCAGTAAAAGCTACGGTAGAAGCGAATCCTCCCAAAATCCGAACCTGAATCCAGACTGTTCTGTTCTTGGTATCCATTAAAAAAATGAAAGCGCCTCCTCCCCCTTGTAGTCCAGGAGACGTCCGATGCGGAGAGATTCCAGTGCTTCAGCCACATCAGGGGACAAGTGGTGCTGGGCCCAGTACTTCCACCTGGGATCCAGGAACAAGATTCTATCTGAAACTGAGAATTCTACCCGCCCTACAAAACAAAGTTCATCGAAATTCTCACGAACCTGTGCTTCCAAGACTTAGCCATGTGGGCGCGTGTCCCCGGGGTCCGCAAAAGCCTCTGTCTTCAGACACCCTTTATATTGGGGATGTAGACCCCAAACTCTAAATAGTAATTTCCATCTTGTTTTCCATAACCCATGTATGACCCCAATAATATACAACATAATTCTATCTACTTAAGGGGGACAAAACCCTAAACCCTTTACAACCCATTTTAGTGGTTTCCATGTCTTTTCCATTTTCCCTATATCACCCCAAAATGAGCCCGATGGCCAAGCCTTTGGGAGTGCCCAGAATAGGGGACCATTTATAAACCCCAAAAGTGTACAGTCCTCACTAGAACTACAACAAACTCAGAATTGTGGTCTGCCCCAGGATTCGCGATTTAGGATGTTGAGCTCGAACCCCTGAAGCTTGAAGCCTAAACCTCAAACCCTGAACCCTGAACTGCAAAACCAAAGATGCCCTGCGCTCAGGTGGGAAGTCAACGACAACCTGTGCGATTAAGTTTGGGGTAAACTTTTGACTAAAACGGCGTTGATAAGGAACAACTCTTTCCAAATTCTTGTCTCAGCAAAGGTGACAAGGCTATGAGCTAGTCCTTCAGCCCTCATGAAGCTTCGTATCTTGCAGCATCCCCTGCCAGATTATCATTGTGAAGCTTCTCCTAAGGTACCAGTTTGCGACTTCCACGAACTTGGTTGCCACGAAAACTGTTACACTCTCAAAATGCCAGAGCCCGTGTCTGACTTTGACATATGAGTGTGTATTTATACGCATGGTCCTATCTCATACATGTACATGACATCTTCGTCCATATGAATAGAAGCCTGAACGCACCATATGCGCACGCACACACCCCTGTCAGTATGCACCAATACATACAATGTGCATGCAACGCCAAATGACTCTGCAGGGCTTCTCGGCACCCGTGAACGCATTGCAGGCGGTCCCGGGAAAACGGAACCCTTTCCCTCCTCAAGTCCCAAACCCTAAGCCCTAAACCCTGAAACCCTAAACCATTGAACCCCAAACCGGACATACCCGTGCAACCAAGACACCATCCATCCACAGGCCCGCCAGCCGCTTGTAGGATGAATTTCCCACCAGGATGCTTTTGAACCTCTTTTGGTAGCTTCTGGTGAAGGATTAAAATCTTTGGCTGAGAAGTTGGATTTAAGGCTTGGGGTCCAGGGTTTAGTTTTGAGGGTTTATGCTTTCTAGCTCGGGTTGCAGGTGCAGGGTGAAGTACTTGAAGCTTCGTGGGTAGATATTCCTCGTGGAGTTCGTCGAACGTCCAATCGACACAAGTGATTATGGCTTTTGCATGCAACAGAGCGGGGTGGTGCATATCAGAGTTATGTGTGCAATTTTGGATAGGGAAGGATTGATGCCAATGTGAAGACCCATCAATAGCAAGTGGACTCCAGTACTTCCATTCCTTCATTCCGTACTAACCAGCAGCCAGCAGCGTACTGAGTGACGTCGTACACGCCGTCACGATAGGTGACCCAAACCTCAACACGCTACCGGCAGCCATCCCCGTGTTACAGACTTTGCACGTTTTGGCGGCTTTGTATAAAACAAGGGGCCACGCCAGTTGTAGAACATGAGGGGGCCATAGCTCGCAAGTCTGGGAGCTCTGGGGTGCGTACACTCCCCCAGACTAACATGGAAACCCATATAGTACCATTTTAGAAGGACTGTAGTCTTTATAGGGCCCTTTTTAGGTTTCCATGTTAGTTTCCGGGAGTGTATCATAAGGAGAAGCTAGTTGCAGGTAACAAGGGGACCCTGAGCTGGTGAGTCTGGAAGGAACATGTACTTGGAGGGTCATGGGGACCTAGTATGTAGGTTAATAACCCCTATAAGCCATATAAGAACCCCAATCATCCCCATTAACCCACTTATTAAGTCCCCCTGACCCTAAACCCTTAACCCTAATACCTAAATACTACAATGGTTTCCATTTTCTTTTCCATTATTACTAAGTCCCCCTGACCCTCCAAGTAGCAAGGGATGTGTAGCTGATTCCTTGCTCGGCTTGTCACTGTAGGAGCCTGAAGAACTAGAATAATGTGTTTCCAAGGTAGGGATTATATTAGGGTTATATTCCCCCAATAATGGAGCATCAAATGGAAAAGAAAATGGAAAATGAAATGGAAACTGGGATTATATAGGGTTAGTTATAAATAGAATACTGTAGGGTTAGTTCTCTTAAATAGAATAATGTATGGTTAGTTGTTTGAGATAGAAAATGTAGGGCTAGTTATTCTAAATAGACTGCTGTAGGGTTCGTTATTTTAAGTAGAACAATGCAAGGCTAGTTATTCTAAATAGAATACTGTAGGGTTAGTTATTTTAAATAGAACCATGTAGGGCTAGCTATTTCAGATAGAATACTAGGCTTAGTTATTTTGAATAGAATACTGTAGAGTTAGTTATCTTAAAGTGGGTGATCGTAATCGAAAGAAATACAGTGCGATTTAGGATCTTAATTTTTATCTTAATTGCAAATATATCTTTTGCTTGATATGCCCTATGCACAAATTGGGCGGTCACATGGTGCATCTCATCAAGGGGTGGTAACCATAAAATTCCCGCGCAATTGAAGCCAAATTAAGAGAATGCTACTCTCACTCCTATAGTCCCCCCTAAGTAGATAGAATAGGGATTTGGGTATAATATAATAAAACCCGCATATACCCCATATTCTATCCACTTAAGGGGGACTATAACCCTACTCCGAGAAAGCCCGAGCCCGAACATTCTTCTTCTTCGGGGTGGCACCTTTGTTTTGAGATTGGTCTGCCCGGAACTCTGGGGGCGGGGGTGTTATCATAATGAACCCTACATTACGCTCCTTGGGCATCACCTTCTTAAATGAAAGAGGAAATGAAAAAATCTCACCAGAAATCGCAGAACACTGAACTCTGACCGTGTAATTCAGATTTATACATATCTCATTTTTTCGTTGAGTGGCTGAGCCCGTGCTGCCATCATGCTTTTGCACATCCTCTGGCGCGACGAATAAAGCGAGCCAGTGTGGGATGTAGCATTTAGGGATTCGAACGCGTAACGAAAACATGCCTAAATGCAATCACGTAATCCTTGGCCTTTCCACTATTGCCATCTGTCGTCCTGTGTTTAAGTATGGCCAACAGTCTGCTCAAATGTGTGACAACATTCTGTGGAAGCAAAAAAAGAAACACTTCCGTGCCTGGTAGTGACCTGTTACTTTGGTCACTTGGAGGGTCGTGGGGACTCAGTAAGTAGGTCCATAACCCCTATAAGCCATATAACCCCAATTATCCCCATTATTATCCCACT